GGGCTTCTAGGATCGTCAGAAAATTGAAAAATGACAAAGTCACAGACATGCATGTGAAAAGGCAGAACCCCCTATGCTGGAACAGAAGGACTGGCTTGGTAGCAGCTCAGCTGAATAGGATCTGTAAATCCTGATGAACTGGAGGCTTAGCTTCCTTCAGGAGATACCTATTATTCTACTTGACTTTTTACTGTAGCACTCTCAAGGACTCCAGATAAATATGAAACCCTAGGTTAATGTTAGAATATGGCATCTTCACCTCTGAAATTAAAGCTCAAAATGATCATTCAAGGCCACAAAATAAAGAAATATATACATATTTTCATTTAGAAATTATGTAAAATTCATGAGTTGACTAAAAAACACCACTGGAACTTGGCGCAGAAGTTTAAAAGCCAGTTTTTAGGATGTGAACATGCTTTATTACTATTTTTCTTTTCCATTCTGAAGTACATTGTCAAAATGACACACTGCTAAGATTTGGAAACCTTCTGCCTTGAAGGAAGAAAAATTACTTTCCTTCTTAACTGGAAGACTAGTATGGAACAGATTCAATATAAGGAATGTGAAACATTCCAGGTAAATTATGTTTAGGAGATTAAAATAAAACTAAGATAGACAAGGACAAAAGTTTAGTGTTCCAGTGTGTAACACTAATCCACAGATCATAATCACAGAAGCATTAACCTTTCTTTTTAACTCTTGTGAAAAAATTCAACAAAGTATTACTAAGCTGTAAAATGAACATACTAATTATTGCAATACACAATTTATCCTTTTATCAGTGTCCATCTATGTAGGATTTTTTTGTTTTGTTCTCATTAGCTTTTTTTTTCCTTAGGGAGTAATGATATACTAATACAATTGCATGCTTTTCAACAGTGGGAGGCTAAGTAAGAAATGAAGAAGCAGTGACTGAAAAACTTAGCAGCAGAAGGGAAAAGGAGAATTATGTTGGAAGATTTTGTAAATAGCTTCTTGTATAGCTGGTATAACGCATATGGTGTAAGTTACTGGTTTGAATTGGATTGTTTTCCTTTTTCCGAGATGGATAGATTTTATTTATTACTATTTTTAATTATTTGTAATATAATGTTTTTTTCATTGTGATTTTTGAAGCTTGATTGTAAAATTCATGTATTTAAAAAAAATAATTTGTAAGAGAAACCCAGTTTTTTAATTAGTGTATTTATTTATTTAATCTATTTGCTTATTATTATTATTTTATGTTTATTTTTTCTCTAGTCAATTTAAAGTCAATTTTTAGTCAATTTAAAGATGTCTTAGTTATTCTACAACATGCAATTTACCGAGCCTTCTAATTATACAAAGATTTCTCTATTATTAAAACTTTATTACTTGGAAAATATACTGATCTGAAGTTTCCATAATATTATTTTGATATGCTACAAAAAAAGCAAAGCACCATCTTATTCTAGATAAACCTCACAGAAATGGTGAGTAATGGAAAAAAAATTAGAATACCTTCAGACCTGCAAAAGGTTACTGAAATGTTTGCCTCTGTAAGTGCACATGTTCTGTCATCTGAGTTAAACAGTACCAGAGAGTAACAGTAATTGTCAGTTGACCTTCTGATTAGACCTAGTCCTATTAAATGTTATGAGAGTAATCAATTGGTACTAAACAATGAGCAAAACAAGCAAACAAAATTATTTCATTAAATTACCTCCTTTTAACAGTATTAGCTCAAGAAAGGCATTTTTGGTTTTAGCTTGACAGAAAAGAAAAAGAAAATAATTCCCTCTAAAGATATCCAACTGCAATAAGGACAAAATCAAAATGGTTATCTAAATCCAGCAACACTCTTAAAATAGCTTCTGCATTTTCCTGTGTAGCCCTTCTTCCATCACCCTTATCCCTTCTACCCCAACAAACCCATCAAATGCCAAGGTTGAAGGAAGAACAGTAGCTCAAAGAGCTGCATGCAGGTCAGGGCATAAGGGCACTTTCCATAAGGAAAGTTCAATAGTTACAGAACTAGCTGTTGAATGCATCATGTACAATGATGCATATATTAATATCCTTTATAGACAATGTAGGGGTTTCCAGTTGACAGCTTTAACTTTGCAAAAGTCTCTTTTATTGGGGAAAAAAATGCTTACTTACCATCCATATAGGCCAGTACATACTTTGCTTGGTTATTTTGTTAGTTATTTTTCTTACAGTATACTCAATTGCCATGGCAATGAATTTTTATGCTGACCCGAGGCTAGCTATTTTTATTGCAGGGTGTTCCATTCACTCTTCCTTTGTGATAGGTCCAACTATTCAGCTTTGCTTCACAGTCTCCTAACTCTGAAGCAGAACTGCTCACCTTTTAAAACAAAAGTCTTTCCCCTCTAGGTACAATAACAAAATAAATTGATGGTACAGCATATACAAACTTATTTCAGCCTCCAGAGGCTTGCTTACTGCCTTTCATACTAAGACACATATAAACATTGTAATTCACTCTGATTTTATGAATTGCCTCCTGACTATCATCAGGGGGTGATGGTTAGGCAGTGCTAAATGAAAGTACCTAAAGCAGGTTGAGAATGACTGCAGTGTGTCTCTGAAGATCGATGAGTTGGCAGGTACTGTTATAAATTACCATCGGGTGCCATTCACAGACGATAAGAGCTTCACCCTGCATGACAGTCATTGATCTGATGCAGAACTAAGATGCAACCTTTGATGACACTCCTTGAGGATAAAAGGTTATACTTCACATTTAGTTGTGAAAAATAAGGTCATGTTTTAATTAAAGTAGTATCTCAGTGGAATATTAGGCCAGTGAAACTGTATGAATTAGTATGACTTGTATAGCAATTGTTGCTGGACAACAGCCTGGTACTCAAGATAATACAGAATAACAATGAAATTACATTAATGAGGCAAATAGCCCACATCATTAGAAGGAGGTTAACTAGTCAGATCCAAAATTAAAAGAAACAATATTTTTGAGTTCATACTTGACACTAAAACTGGCAAAACAATAAAATTTACATTTAGGTAAGAAATACTTAAGACATACACCTATATTTGGGTTACAGTAATTCCAAAACATTTGAATTTAGAAATATTTTATGCAAACTCTAATATTCAAGCTAAAAACAAGCTTGGGATTAACTGTTCATAGAGGTTTCTGAGTCTTCTTTTCTGGGAAACACAAAGGACTGCTCAATTTTTTTTTTTTTTACACTTCCAACAACATTCCTGACCAAGTTTTCTGAAAATAAAACTGGTCGTATAACACACATGTATTCCAAACAGCTAGTAAATGAAGCAAATATTGTTCACATGCAGCAAATATTTTTCATAAATATTTGTGAAAATTCTATTCTACAATATAATAAAATATAATCCATAAATATGTGACCTGCTGATCCGGCAAAATACTTTAGCTTGTGCTTAAGTAAGCCATCTAACTAATACCAATTTCAGAAACTGAATTAAGAGATGTAGGGTAGAGCTATGATGCAGGCTACTCAATAGTCAATGAATGGTACATATTCAAACTGAGACTCGAAAAGGTGATTTAACTAGCCCAAAACTCAGGAATTAGCCTCTCATATAGCAAGTGAAGATTTAACAAGAAGGTACCATTTCTACCTTGTGCATTCTGCCAGTATGACAAACTTTATTTACTTTGACATACTGCAAAGCATGTACAACCAAGGCTGCCTTTCTTCCCACCCACAGCTGTTCCAGCTTATGGTCTCCTCAATCCAATCTAAATGTTCATTTTGCAATTACTCTGCTGTCAAATGATAAGTGAAATATAGAATATATACACAGTAAGTACTTAATAGCTTTAAAAATATACTTTATATCATAATGTCACCAGTTGCTTGTCAGAATTCATAAATTTTAAAATATTTAGTGCTCAAACTAGCAGAACACATCCAGATCAGAAACCAGGGCTAGTTGCTCTGCAGGAGGACGGCTATGCAAATGCCTTGAAAACATAAATTGCTCTGAAAAGGCTGAAAACACAAGATCAGATTGGGAGGTCAAGATATTATGTAAATGAGCTGTTCGTCTCCCATAGTGCACAACAGTTTTACATTTTCCTTGCTTTTCCCAATATAACTGGTCAGCCATAAAGTCAAACCTAGTTGCTACAGACACTGCAATGCTTGCTATGAGGCTTTTACTCAGTCTGGGCACTGAGAGAAACACAAAATCTCAAGGCAACCACAGGACCAGACCAGTTACTTAAACTTCAGAACTGCCTTTAAATCAAGCAAAAATGGGGTTTTGAATTTGTTTTGAATTTGTTTATAGCTGTTTTACAGACATAATCCACAGCTTTGCAGAGCAGATACACAGCTTTCTCATTCTGACAAGAAATATGACATTCTATATGAAAAATGTAAATCTACTGAATATTTATTTTGCATGTGCTCTATATTGCTACTGATATCTGACTACAGCTAAAATTCCAAAGCATGGACTGAGACTCTTCTTCAGAAAGCCACACAAAATTATCCAGAATCATTACCTAAGCTTTTAAATCATTATTTGTTTCCTACAATTTTTATGCAAACTTAAGAACATTATTTAACGTAAGGTAGTACTGATTTTTCTTGCTTCCAGTTTTAGTGAGGAAATGTATATTCCTTGCTTAAATAAAAATAGAATTTAGTATGTTTTAAGACATATCCTGAGTACTGACAGTGATATGCTATAGACTTCTGCAACATGAGGAACAGAGGTAAATATTATTTTTTACATCAAGGTCTTTTTTCAAAGTATTACTAGATAGCAGCATGTACCAGATTAGAGAAAATATTCAAGGTAATGATGGGCGTACTCAGGGATTTTGTGGAAGCACAAACCAATAAATTACAGCTGAATAGATACACATTTATATATGCTGATATAATGCAAACATCTAATATGTAGCTATCCTATTTACTGCTCTTGGGTGGGAAAATAAAATTGCATTAAAGAGACTAGTTAGGGATAAAATACTGTTTTCTGGCAATACTCACATTATTTCTGCTTTTTTGTCTTTTTTATGTAAAAAGTTTGCCCGTTTCATACTGGTCTGTCCTGTCTTGTGCAAAAATATGAATCAAAACAAGAATTGTGGTCAGTATGCTTCAAATGAAATCAATAAGAATTGCACTAATAGTTTTAAAGGGATGAGATCATGATCAATACCTAGATGATATTTGAACTAATATTTTTTTAAAAAATATGCTCGGATATTGCAGTTTCTAATTCAACATACATGTATAGAATTCATTGGGGCACAACTGCATTTTATCAGTAAAGGCTAAAATCTTAGAAGACAGACAATCACAAACATTAAGGTAAAAAAACCTCACATGCAGTAGTTCACCGGTCACCTACAAACTCACAGCCTCCAAAATAGTAGAGGTTTTATCTGACATACAACCTGGATTTGATTCCCAAATACTTCACGACAGAAGCTCAAACAGCCATTTTCCAGCAATCCAAAAAAAGAGGGAAATTGCAATAGATTTCTATGCTGTTTAAAACACATTGTGTGGAAAAATAACAGATATCTGACTAGAAAATAAAAAGAAATAAAAAAGCAAAGTAAAACAAACGAAAAAAGAAAAAAAAAAGACATAAATTATAAAGAGCCTAATAGCATATACTTTTTCACCTGAAGGCAAAGGACACTTGATTATGAATTTCCAGTCACGACAGCATAGTCCCAGTAAATGTCAATATTAATAAAAATTTCCAAGAACAAAAGGTTTTTGAAGGTAAAGAATATTGTTTGAAGCTCTTCTTCATTATATCTCAGTAGAAGAACATGTGTAGAAACATCCTGAAGATCAAAAATCTAAATAATTATCTTCTTTATTATTAATTCTAAAATTATATTTTATCAGTGTCATAAAGTACATGTTTCAAGAATATATTACCAATATTTGAATATATTCACTTCAGTGCAAATACTATTCACCCTTTGGTGATTGATTAATTATTGTCACATCCAGAAGCCTTTGCCTTCCTTCATCCTTTGGGCAAAAACAATATTCCATTTTTTTTCTTTATTTAGACACCCTTCAAAGAGGTAACACAGACATGATCTCAATACATTTACTACAAGGAAAATTGACTTTTTGAAGTACAAAATTGACCAATGGGATTTGACAAGAAATATAAAAAGGAATTTAAGAAATATAAAAAGGAATTATAAATAACATCAATGAAAATATTTAAAAGCCTGCCTAGATTTACTTATGTATTCACCTTTATGCTAGAGTTAAAACTAATGCTATGTTAAAGCTTCTTTTGAAATCTGCAAAGGATGTTATAGACTGAAGACTGCTGTCTCTTAAGTTTGTTAAAATGTATTAAAATTAACACCAGCATTTAATTTCTGCTCCATTTCCCTTTTGGGTTACATACATTTTCCCTTATTGTGAAGCACACATGTCTATTGTATTGACAGTCATCTACATTTGGTATGTTAATTAGGAAACCACCTGATCACTGGGTGAGCCAGCAAACATTCTTTTACTCCACACATTAAAAGTCTTTTCAAAATAAGTATTTTACAGACTTATGTCAAAATCAAAATTTTAAAATTGTTTTAAAATCACAAAGACAATTATTGGGAGGTGAGGGGAGAGGCTTGATTTTTTTGGTTGGGTGTTTGTTGTTTTTTTTTTTCACTCAGTCCCAACTGCTGATTTCAATCAAAGCTCTGGGTCTATGACCACAGAGATTCTGCTGAGTGATTAGGACCATATCCAGCAAAGCACTTAATACTTAGGTTTGGAATATATAAGGATATCCACTGATCTCATTAAGTTACAGAAATCAATCTATTAGAATCCATTTTAAAAAAAATAGCATATGTTACTACTCTTTGTTCATCTTATTAGAAATCTTACAGAAAAAGTGGGCAAACTATTCCCTGAAAAAATATTAAAGAAAATTGCACACAAACTTACCTCCCAACACACAAACACAAAAATATAAATATCTGTATACAGACAACATACCATTTATGAAAACAAATGGAACAAAGCAGGCAATAAGCGAGAATCTGAAACTATTCAAAGACGCATTTCTAATTTTTTAAAATATAATTTTATTGAGTTTTCATTGTTTTATATAGGAATATGACTTTTAACAACTCAAATCTCATTGTTATTTTATTAAACACAAATAATAATTTATTTATGCACTTTTGTGATTGTTCAAGACACAGTGCAACGTTGCAGCTGAATAACTCAGAGATCATATAATTATTTTGCCATAACAACTTGTCAGTGTCAGATTTATGTTAAGATATTGCACCATGAGGACTCAGTTATCCCTCTTTTTTGTGTTATATCACAATGAAACATTGCAAAACCATGCACGGTTTTAAAATTACAGTGAAGAGTGGTGTCCCCCAGGGGTCTGTACTGGCACAAGTACAGTTTAATGTCTTCATCAATGACATAGACAGCAGGATTGATTGCACCCTCAGCAAGTTTGCAGATGACACCAAGCTGTGTGGTGCAATTAAAATGCCCAAGGTATGGGATGCCATCCAGAGGGATCTGGATGACCTTAAGAAGCGGGCCTATGGGAACTTCACAAGGTTCAGTAAGGCCAAATGCAAGGTGCACTACGTGGGTATGGGCAATCCCAAGCACAAATACAGGCTGGGTAGTGAATGGTTTGAGAGTAGCTTTGCAGAGAAAGACTTGGGGGAGTTGGTGGATGAAAAGCAGGACATGAGCTGGTAATGTGTGCTTACAGAATATATTACATCAAAAAAACTGTGGTCAGCAGGCCAAGAGAGGTGATTCTGTCCCGCTGCTCTGCTCTGGGGAGACCCCACCTGGAGTTCTGCTTCCAGTTCTGGGGTCTTCAGCATGAGAAAGATATGGACCTGTTAGATCAGGTCTAGACGACGATCATGAAGATGACCAGAGTGCTGGAGCACATCTCCTATGAAGAAAGACTAAGAGAGCTGGGCTAGTTCAGCCTGGAGAAAAGGCTCTGGGGAGATCTTGTTGCAGCCTTTCAGTACCTGAACAGGGGTTATAAGAAAGAAAGATGGGGACAGACTTTTTCCTACGGACTGTAATAGGACAAGGGATAATAGTTTTAAACTAAAAGAAGATAGATAAGTTGAATGAGGCTTTAAGCAACCTGATTCCTGAAGATGTCCCTGGTCATTGCAGGGGCTTGGACTAGTTGATCTTTAAAGTCCTTCCCAACCAAAGTATTCTATGATTCTGTGACTTCATGAGTCTATGATTCTATTCTTGCTCTGTTTCAACTCCATGTAATTTTTCTTCATTTCTCCTTTTTTGTTTGTTTGTTTTTGTTTGTTTGTTTATTTGTTTTTTGCCAGAGTAACAGATCCCTTTCCTTTGCACCAAACTTTTTTTCTCAACCATGGATGCAGACATGCTTAATGAAGGTTCAGCCTGTGAAGATAGCAGTGATGACCAGTGCATGTCTAGCAGGTTTCACTATACAAATTGCAAAAAACAGTCAACTAAGTTCTGATCTGACCCTAGTCCTAGAAGAGGTAAGGAGATAGCCCAAAGATAACTAATTTGGCCTTGAGACAAATGTGATTAGTTCTGACCACAAGTATCAAAGTCCCAAGAGGGGATCACAAGCCGTCAGTGATCTTATCTGGGTTGTAGGTTGAAATAGTACTGCTTTGAATCACTTATAGAGAAAAAGTCATAAACTGCAAACCCAAGAAAATGTGAGGAATGCATTTCTCTGTTATCCTCAAGCACTGCTCTTGGTATAATTTTACATTTGCTACTTGTTATGATGATATTGATTAGTAAGTCAACAGAAGCTTTCACAAGGGACTGCAGATCTCTTTACTACTGCTCTGTAATATTAAAATATCATTACTGAGTTGCCAACTTTTTGTTCTGCTGTAATGATTCTCTGATGATTGCCTGCTTGAGCTGAAATTTGAAACTGTCACCCACAGACTTGTAGAAGTGATTCAACTTCACTTATAAGGAAAGTGAAATTAAATATTCATCCCTGGACTGCAGTTCAGGTTCAAACTGCCTGAAGTTCCTCAAGGCAAAATGTACTTAAGTCATAGAAGATTTTTTTTTTCAGTTTTAAAGATTCAAGATGTCTACTTATCAGGGCTGGACAGTCAAATAATCATTTATCTGGAACTTCTGTACACAGATACTCTTTTCCCTGTTTTGCAGCATGATTTTAATTATTATGGCTAGGTAAGCTATTTCTCCAACATGGATTAATTTTAGTACACTGAACATCCAGACTGATTCGACGAGTTCAGATAAAATGACAATAAGCGGTGGAAGGGCCTAAGTTTGGACCATCTGAACTTGTTTACATTGGTGAGCATTTCTGCAGGTAGCAGTGTTTGAAATGAAGGTAAGTAATTACAGTAATCACAAAAGTCTAGTTAAATCTTTGGATGGATGTAATGTCTTGAGATTTACCTCAACTTCCAGTTTATAGATTCATTTCAGGTTTTACCCACTATGGAACCCAAAAGGTCTGAGCAAATGAAGATAAAATACTAGAGTCCCCCCAGACAAGATTTCCTCTGAATACTAAAAGTGATAAAATTCAACGATCCAGAACACAGAAGCAAAGGATTCTTCCTCACAAGGGAAATTCCTTTTCTGGGCAGCTGCAGACAAATTAATTGAAAATGGCCCAGAGACTTGAAAACTAGTTCCTTTACAGAGCTCAGTGGGGAAAACACTATCTTATTTGGAATTTTCTTGTTTTATTCTCACTGTTCTCAGTCTAACACTGGGAACCTAGCATAGGATTTGGTAATTTTAAATCCCATATTACTAAATTCTACTCAGAGATACATTATATTTCACGAGTGTCCCATAGCAAAAGAGTGAGCCATATACCACAGGCAACAACGCCATAAGAAGCTTAGTAAGCTCTAAGTTCTGGACAGATTCAGTCTACCCAGGCAGCAGAAGAGAGGGGAGACAGAAGGATTTGGGAGGACGTAGTTCATGGTTGTTCTCCCATGACCGCTGTCAAATGACACTGAGAAATATATGAAAATATTTAACATCTTCGCTCCTTGCACTACTATTATCATGCAGTGAAAATAATAATGAGCAAATACAATCAAAGAATCAGACAATCTTTAAAAAAAATGTATGGGATATAGAAAGCAAATAAAAGTGCAAATGCTTATATATTCATATGTTTGTCTAAAAAATTACAACCATCTCAGATACCCAACTTTCTACGTATAGAAGGGCTTTCCTCCTTAAAATTCATTAGTACAGTGTTTCTTTCTCTCTGGTTGAGATACCTTTGTGTTAAAGACTCTTATTTATATATTTTATCAGGTTCCTCCTTGCTTTATTACAGATGAGGTGTAAAGGTTGCGGTGGCATATAAAATAATTGCCATTAGGAAGACAATAGAAGTAGACACAGGTTTTTGGAAAAAACCAGCAAATTATATGACAAATATTCAAGGATCAGGCTGCTACTGGAATGAGAACCACTGGCTATAACGGACAGATGTTGCCTTTAGTTAGTACTGGTCCTTTTATCTCTGGAGTAAAACCCCAATTTCGATTAAAAAACAAAAAAAAACTTACCAGTGAATACCCTGATTCAAGTACAGATTCTAACCCTTGGTTTGAAACTTCTGACTTAAGCAATGAGAGAGTTATTCTAATAATACAGTGTGGGGTTTCAGTTTCTCTTGTTTGGTCAAGTAAACTAAGAAAAATACTGAAACCTAGCCTAGGAATCTTTGGGTCAACTTGTCACATATAAAGGCATTTTAATTCACTTTTTAAGGAAGGACTTAGTACGATTACATAGCGTTCAATTTGCAGGTAGAAGTTCAACCCAATGAGACAGCATAATCGGCAAGACTTTTCTTCTAGATTGCATTCCCATTTTTACAGGAATTTCCAAATTCTATTAAATTAATGCTCTGCTTTGTCTTTGATCTGTATTGTACATATGAGTTCTGTTTTTCTAAGATTTTAAAATGTGAAACAGGCCTGTGTTTAAATCTATGACATCCACGCTCATCTTTCTTGTATGATGTAAGACCATGTCTCTCCCTAGGCTTATCATTTTTATCAAAGAGGGTCTTGGCTTCATCTTTTTCCTCTCAGTGCAAAATACTGTGCAGGAAAATTACTTCTAGATTAAACTTGGCTTCTGCCGAAGGTGTAAGAACCAAATTATGAAAGGACTAACTTAAATTACTAATTGCAGAAAACATGTTTTATCTCTGCTTCTTTTTGATGAACAGCACAGCCAGAAATATTTAATTATTGTTTAATTATGTTTACTAGAAGTATATACAAAACCTATAATATTCCAGAGATGAATTCTGGTAAAGAAATTTTGGTCAATGCTGTCAAAGCAGAGAATGCAATACTAAAATTTATCTGTCATTAGAGGCACTTTCCCTCCCCTTCCCCCCATTAATTTATATTCATAACAAGAACAAAGAAATTGCTTGTTGTTCCTCATGGATCAAAATTCCTACTTAAAATAAAGGGAAACTATTAGAAGAGGATACAAGTGTCAGTAATGTGATTGAATTCTTCATCCCCTGGCATCATGAATTGTTCCTGAGTAATGGCTAAGGCTTTGTTCCCTAAATCATTAGTACATTCTTTTAAACTGTGCATGTACCTGAAATCCCAACAGATTTTTCATCTCCAAGGTGAAATAATAAAAGCAACAACATCTAGCTATTAAATGTCCATTTCACATGCCAAACAAATTAATTCTCTTATTCTGGGGCTAAGCCTAAAGTATCTAAAGATAGGTACTTGGAAGAAAGATTACTTCTTTATCTCACCATTACTTATAATTTGCCTCTAGTTGATTTGGAGAGATTCAGCACTGGATCCTACTTTATCATGCAAGAAGGGGAGGGGGGGGAAGAGTTACAAAAGAATTTCATAAAAGATAAAATTATTCAGGGTTTCTGAATTTCATAGATAGTCTTTTCTAATGGACACACTTTTCTCAATTTATGGAATCATCTTCTATTTAAAATCCTTTAGAAGTCCCAGAAAAGACAGTATGTTCAAACTCATTGGTGAAGAAAGATGAGGGCCAATGTTTTAAATATTCAGCCTATGTTTACTGTACCTACAACAAACCTAAATTAAATTTTGAAAGTTTTGAAAAGCCCTAACCAAAACAATAGGAAAAAGAAGGGATCATTTTTTTTTGACATTTATATCAACAGAATGGTTGCATTTTATCTCTTGGTATAATTCATTTTCAGAATAAATTGATAAATAATTTTTCTATGAGGGAAAATTAATACATAATGCTGACATTTTATGACTCAGTAAATCAAAAATTAAGTTCATGAACATGTATTTTTCAGATGTGTTACAAAACTTTTATTATTTTAAAGTTATAATGTACAACTTGCAAGAGAATCATCTCACTTAACTTTACCACACTTAAAAGTTACACATATAAGTGTGAAATAGTCATATCAGTGTCCTTTAAAATCAATGTGGAAAATCAGAGTACAGAGGTGTCTTAACAGATCTATCTAACAGATGGGAAGAGTCATGGCACATATTTCCTTCCACTTCATAAAAATATGGTTGAGTATGCCTTCTTCCATTGATGACATCTACAAGAAATCTACCTTAATGAAGATCGACCTATCCCAGGGTGTATAAAGCAATTTTCTTAATGCAACATGTTTTCTTATCAGACATTATAAATGTGACAAAAAAGTATAGATTTCCAGCAGAGCCTGATATGTAATTTTCTAAAATACTGAATAGAAAACTAATGACAAAGAAGTGCAACCTCTTTTGCTTGTACAAAAATGTCACTGTTTTACCTTAAGAAAAAGAACACCACTGAAATCAGTTGAGCTATTGAATTTCGTATTATGGTTTTTAAAAAAGGGCTAAACAAAGTTTTTATTAAATGGTACAAAGTCAACTACATGATGATGATGTAGATGTAGATACATCTACATCATTACATGAGAACTCACAGAAGCTATGCACTAACTCCTTAGTTCAGAATTATACTGACTGTCCAAAACAGACATGTATTGGTTTTTATAATTCTTTTAGCATTACAATAAATAGTGCATGAATTCAAATAAGAACTTGAAAACTAATAATAAAAAAATGTACCTGACAAATCTCTAAGAG